TCTGTTGTGAATGAATATAGTTTAAAAAAATTAAAGAATAGTAATTAAAAAATGGAGCGTTCAACAAAAATGAAACATCGAGGTGGAATTCTAATCGAAATAATTTTTTTTTAAATTAGCTCAAGTAAAATAGAAATCATCTTAACACACTTTTGAAATCATCTTAACAACACTGTGAGACATGCTGAGCCTGAGTTTAAAAACTTACATGATTTAAAACGTAGCACCTCGTTCTGCAATTGTTTTATAGTCGATTTACAAGTATAGAATTACGATGACGTTAAGGTGGTGTGGTGTATTTAATTAGGCAAAGCACACTAGGGCTATCTGCCTAAGGGGAGGGATGCCTTCGTGGAGGACTTTCTAAGGGAAACTGGCTCGTATACACGTTACAAAACACCACGAAAACACCCACGCAGCCAGCCCGTTCGCGGGATTCGTACCTCGGACCGAACTACCAGTGTTCAGCGACTTTACCGCTCGGCCGCTGGTGGGCCGATGACGTTAAGGAAAATTAGCAAATGAACAAGACTTAAATTTACATAGTAATTATTATTAATAGTAAATTTACATAGTAAAATATGTAGTGCCATGACGATGAGTTTACTGTGGTTAATGTAACTTTTATAAAGATTTAAAAGTAAAATAATACTTTTACATAGAGTTTAAGAAATAAAACGAAAACATGTATTTATTAGAAATGATGAATGAAAATCATAACGTTAGTTAAATGAAAAATTTAAGCTAGCTTTACAATGCTATTTGATAAATTCCTTTCAAAATTTACTCATGATATATGAATTCAGATTTAAATTTTAAAAAATAAAACAAAGAAAGAGTGGAATATAATAACAAAGTTTCATGTTTTTCTTTTTTATTTTCTTGAAAAATTCTATTAGGATTTATTACGAATTAAGATTAAAGGAAATGTATTCTTTCCTGATACAAAGTGTCCATAATTAAATTTGAAATTTGAGAGAAGTCTATAGCAAAAACTATACTGCAGAATTACATGAAAATTGGGTAAAGTCAGAATGAAATTATGGGAATTTTATTGAGGGGGAAAAACAATGAGTTTCAAAAATCACTTCTAAGTGAAGTATCATAGCTTTATTGAGAACATAAAAATAATCTACAAAAGTTTACAAAACATGCTCGATCTGATGTCCACCACTGTCTGCTACCGTCTGGAAGCATAAAATCGCATGTTCGACTGTTGAAAGCAGCATGAACTGAGGAATTTTACTCACATGGTTTTGTTAAGGTCCGACAGAGACGTGATGGGATCATGGTAGACCATGGCTATGAGGTATCTCCAAAGCCAAAATTCGCAAGGATTCAAGTCGGGGGATCTAGGAGGCCAAGCTATAGGAAATTGCCAGCTGATGATTATGTCATCACTGAAATGGCGGCTGAGTACTTATTTCACACAATGGGCGATTTGTGGAGGAGCACCATCCTGCATAAACACTGTGGTTGTATCACATCGCCTTACCTGAAGAGCTGGAATAACGGATTGCTCTAATAATGAAACGTATCGTTGACCGGTGACGGTGCATGTCACATTCCCTGCGGCACTATGCTCTTTGAACGGACCCGCAATGAAGCTTGCAGTAAAGCCACACCAAACCGTTACATAAGAAGAGTGTAATGGAATGTAGGAACTGATGTGGGTTTGTAGCAGCCCAAATACGGCAGTTGTGCGTGTTAACCGCACCTTTCATATGAAAGTGGGCCTTGTCGGTCCAAAACATTTTCCATGGCCATTCATCCTGGAGCTTAACTCGCGCAAGAAACCGCAACACATCCATTACCTGTGCTACAACACACGTTTGTCCCCTTCCTGGTTTTCCTGTTGCTTCAAATTTAATAATCATATTTCTTAGAATATAAGTGGACCTTTTCGTAACCGCTTCAAAAACCGAAATTTCCGCGAAACTTCGGCAACAGAGTCTCCGTTTTGGTAAAATAATTTCACCAGCAAAGTGCGTTCCTAGAAAGTCAACGTCATCTTGCTTGACTTGGAAAGAAGTATGACTGCTGTTCGCCTCTCGAATCTTTATAGGGTTGCTGTGCACGCACAGAATTACTATAGTTGCCACATTTGCATATGCCAATAGTTTACATTGCACAATGCCATTTGGTGGTGGTTTTTGAAACTTATTGTTTTTTCCCCCTCGATAAAATTCCCATTATTTCATTCTGCCATTACGCAATTTTCATGCATTTCTGCTGCATAGATTTTGCTACAGATTGCTCGCAAATTTCAAGTTTAATTAGGAACACCATATAATTACGTAGAAGATTCATCATTTTCTAGTGTGATTAAAAGAAATACTTTATCTCTTATTTCTGAAATTTTATTATGTTGTGATTAAAGAAATTTCTTATTTAACATTGTGATTTAATTGAAATTTTCTCTTTCCATAAGCGCTTTTATATTCTTCTGACTTCTTTACAAGTAACATAAAAACGCTTAATAGAAAATATGCTAAACGTTCAAAAATTAACATTATTTTAGTCCCCTTGTATTTCCTAAAATATGCGTGATACTAATCGGATTTGAGAGATCCTATCTTAAAGCAATTTCAAGAAAGCAGTAATTTCAGAAATGTTACGTTCGAAACAAAAATACGCAGAGAACAAAAAATTCCATTTTTATATAAAATGATTTTTTAAAATTTTTCTATAAGTATGATTAACATATTCAAACACTCACAGACTGGTTTTCAACCCTTATTATTTACACTAAAGGCCCACAAGTGGCCGAGAGGAAAGGCTGCTAAATAATGATAATTCGGTCCGGGGTTCGAATTCCGGCGAACGGTTTGGTTGTATGGGCCTTTTGGGGGATCCCCATGTGTAACTTGCACATGAGCCAGTTTTCCTTAGAAAGTTCTCCACGACGGTATCGCTCTTCTTTACCAGATAGCCCTTAAGTGATTTGCCTTAATGAAATAAACCAAAGCAAAAACAATTTATATGAATGATGAATAAAAACTTTAAGATGGATTTTGCTGCTTAAGGTAATATTAATATTTTTCAAAGAAGAAAAGAAGTAATATTAGTTGAGTATGGATTTTTTTAAATCGTGAAAGAATATAATGCAGTGTTTAATATTCGTAATATTTGTAGTAAGAAGTATTTGTACTGAAGACTAAAAAAAAAAAAAAAAAAAAAAAAAAAAAAAAAAAAAAAAAAAAACCTTTTTTTGGCGATATTCTTGGCGAGAAAGATCTGCTACATGAAAATCTCTTGGCATTGTTCTTTTTCAGGCACCGTATTACAACCCTTGTGGTCATGTTTAGGATTATGTCCGGGGTGGCAGTTACTTAATTCAAGAGGCTCTTTCACAAACACAATGATCACACGAAGATCACTCCCCCATAGGATACAAAAAACGTGACCAATTCCACGGAATGGAAAAAGAGAATTTATTTAAAAAGACGAAAACTGTGTTAGAGTTTTACGTCGAATGATTATTAGTTATTACTTTTTTAGGAAGATGGTAAATCAAACACTTTAAAAATATTCTTTTACTATAAATTTCAAACAAAAATAATGAGTATAAAGTGCAATATAATGACTTATTATGTAGGACGTGGTAAAATAGCTTATGTTATTTTTCCAACAGATCAAATAATTCTCCTGCTTAAAAAAGCGATAACCTGTTTGAATGAAATTAAGTTCAAAAGCAACCCAGATGCATGTAAATATTTTGTAAAATTATATATATTTCGACGACAACAGATATACGTCAGTTTTTCAATTTCAATCTTCAGATTGTAATTAAACATCTCGAAGAATTTGCCATTAAAGATTTAAAAACGTTTTAAGCTTAAAAATCGTAAAATTAAAAAGAAACTGTAATATCATTTTGGTATGTAGATTACAATTCAATATCTTAGGCAATTTTAAGCTAAGCAATTCGATAGGCAAAATAATTTTAAAATCATTCTCATAGAAATTAGCTGTATGGAACATAAAATCTTATATTTAAAATGCACAAATTAAAATGGTCAACCCGAACATTAGGAAAGATTTGCTACTGTTTTTATTTGATTGCAGATTTGAAATTATTTAACAAAGAGAAGATTGCAGTAAGTAGTTTATATAATATGTAGTTGCGCATTTATATCACTGGATGTTTTGCGCACAATGTTTATAACAAATATTTTTGTCTGATGGCAGTTCTTTCTATTTTGCCGGGATGAGGAATTTTTAAAATAAAAATAATAAACACTCACTATTTCTGACAGCATAAATACACAGATATTGAGTGCTATATCTCTAAGGCAACTACATCTACAGACGGCACAATTTATATAAAAAAGTAGGTGATCATCTTAGACAGGGATAAAAAGGTTTGATGTATTACATTTGTTTCGTACTGTTACTTTTGATAATTTGTTTTGTATTTGATAACCATATTTCTTACAAAGCGCATCGTATTTACACTTTGCTCAATATTGTATGCCCTTGATTGCTCATACGTATAACTCTTTCCATTATTATTTTGCTATTAATGTAATTTGTAAGTAGATAAAGAAATAATTCTGCTGTGATGATATGGGTGTATAGTATTCCAATACACGGACATCACTTCATTGTTATAAGATCAGCATGAAATAAAATTACTATTGTACAGAACTTAAGATATTTAAAACATTTTTGATGTTTTAATCATTAACAACTAATGTGTTACTTATAACTGTGTGATCGCTAGATAAAGCCATAATTTCAAACAATGCTGTTATTTTATAACTATTGAAATAAGAAGCGTTTTTACATGTCTCGAAAGGTTATTTACGAGCGTGGATCTTGTACCATTTCGATTTTCTCCTGAACTTCCTTACGTATATATATTAAAAAAATGGTAAAATACTTCTAAATCCCAAGCATCACGCATGTATTCATATGCAAAAATTAGAAAACATAATTTTAGCTTTATTTCAAGCATTCTATTCGGAATAATCTGAAAATTATTTTAAGTCCCTTACCTTGCATATTTCGTATATGTGGATGCGTATGCGCATCAAGGGAAGATTTCGTCATCCCTCCAATAGCATTGTGAGGGTAACCTGAAAAGAACAGAATATTTTATATACATATTATCAGTAACACATTCAGAAAACAAAAGAAAATCATTTTTCCGGTCAACGCGTAATAATACTTTAAATTCTCAAAATGCAGGATTGATATTACAAATGCATAGCTAATAAGACGAGAATAGGCATTTCACTACCATGCTGTGTTTCCAGTTTGTGCTGCAATGCTAACTGAATTGTTAAAATGGCTCAAAAATACACAGGACGAATAAATTTATTATGCCCATCATACGCAGATGCGGTGTTCCGGTAGATCTACATGCTAGTAGTTTTGCTGTTTATCTGACATGCGATATGCGACGGAGGACGTGGGCACCACCCCTCTACCAATACGGTTAATCGGTATAGCGCCACGTCCACCTTTATCTAGATAACCATACGTGTTCATTGTGCTAATATACTAATATATAAACATACACACAAATTTGGTACTTCATACAGTGGCGTTAAAGCTAATTAATGTTAGACAGTGGATAATACATTGCCATGTTACAAGGTGTATGCAAAAGCATGGATACGGTAGCATATATACATAACGCGTGTACTCATATGTTGAGATTACAGAAGACATGTACATACTGAAATATTAGGTGCGCAATGTTATGCTGGAATAAGTAATTAGTACAGTGAATTAAAAGTTAGACCCTAGATTAGTACTGTGTGGTACAGTGTCTTGCTACTGAATTATTTGTACTGTTTCCTAAGTACATTAACCAATGTACAAAGATATTAAAACACGTGTATTAGGTACACAGTAATTAGTGGATACCCAAGCGTTAGGTTAGTGCTACTTTAACATACATTAACAATAGGTACTTGATACAATGCTGAACAAATAATTGGTGCAATTAATTTTAGAGTGGGGCTCTAGTTAGTTCTTTGCGATACTGTGCCGTGTTACAGGATAAATTGTGCAGATGCATAGTTACATTATCATATATACAAAACATAAATTAATATACATACATACAGACATTTTGTTTACAGACACATTACGTACATGATTATTCAGTGCGTAATAGATGTATATTAACTATACAGTGCCAGATATGTGATAACACTAGTAGATACATGGGTACAATTATACATAAACAAGGACATACACAATTACATATAGACAAAAGCGTATATACGCTTATATTTGGTACATAATAGTCATTGGTGACATAAACATTTGGTACTTACTTATATACTTAAACTCTAGATCCATAAAATAATGTTAGAACTAGGTGCTTATTAATTTCATAATAGGACACTAGGTTGATATTTTGCCTTACTGTGTCAAGTTACATAGAAATGTATGCGGGTGCATGGGGACAGCTTCCTATTTACAATGCTATACTGTTTTCCTATTTACAATGCTTATATCATTCGATTTCATAATCAATAGGTACATGACACATTTATATACATGAGCAGATGGCACAATGTAGAGTGCCGTTGAGGATAATTGATGCAATTAATTTTATAGTATTTTAAAAATAATGCATTTATACGCAATTATAAGGTGCATAATTGTCATTGGGTACATATACATTAGGCGCATATACATATTCAAATATTAGTTTCTTAATACAATGCTAGGGCAAGTAATTGGTGCTGTTATTTTTACATGTTACATGATGCTGTAGGTGATTGGATGGATAAACTAATATATATACTAATATACATATACACAACTTTTAGGCACATAATAATCACTAGATTCTCAGACATTAGATACATATACATATATAAACAGATGGTTCATAATACAGTGCTATAGAAAGTAATAAATGCAGTTAATTTTATAGTAAGATTCTAGTTTAACACTATGCGAAACGGCTTCATGTTACACAGTGTTAAATACTGACGCATGAATACAGTAATATTTCTACTTGTTAATACTATATATATATATAAATATACAAATATTATGTGCATAATTAACATAGGATACATAAATGCAAAGTATGCAAAGTATGCTGACAGTAGTATCAGATCAAACCCAAGTATTTTATCATGACCCAGGTACCAGGTAAAAGGGAAAGGGGGATCATTGGTTAAACCTTTGGCCTCTTTATAGATGTCGAAACGAATTTGCCCAATTCCATCCCAGTTTTGAAATAAAAGCTTCCTATTGGACGGATGCGATGGTATCCAAGGTTTCTTGCCCTACCACCAACGTCGCGAGAGGATAGTAGTAGGTGAAAGGCCTTGAAGATGAACAGTATTTTAAGTGGCTCCGTGTCGTATAAACGCTATACATTAACAAACATCTTTGTATTCTCAGAGATTTTGATCCGGGGCAGAGCTAATGGCAGCCAAGACCCTTAGCTATCACCATGCCAATAGGGTAGATAGTCATTCATATATAATGTTATGTTGGTTGGCTAGTTAATTGTGGAAAGACATTTAAGAGTTATCTGCCTAAGAAAGGATGGCTTTATCGGGAACGTTGTAAAAGTCACTGTTTCCCATTTGCGTTACCTGAAAACATACGAAATTCTATCTCTTTTTCCATGGAACCCGCCCGTTAAGTCGCTGGGAAATAGTCCTAGGAAAGACAACCAGAATTCTACCTCTGAAAGAATCGACTATTGGAGAATCTTTCACTATTTCACTATCTATATATTTCATTATCGACTATTGGAGAACTACCACTTGAACAAATCTACTCAATATTCTTTTATTCTATGTCATGAAACTTATTAGCGTTATCAAAGCTTGATATCAATAAATAAAGAAAGCAGACTAATAATAATAAAAAGCGTCGTTTCCTTTTCTTTACCGACAAAAATTATTCCAAGAGTTTTATTATTAAATTATATTTAAAAATTATTCCAGTATTTAACCTTGCAATACGTCTAGCTAATTCCGTTTTAGTAGAATTCACTTGAAATTATTATTATTTCGAAATTTACGCATATATGAATTGCACGTTTTGCGTTGCAGCAGTTCAGTAATTTACTGATGTAGAGACATTAGTTTTTTTTTTCCAAAAACAAAAGTAATTTACAGTTCAGTAATTTACTGATGTTGTACAGACATTAGTTCTTTTTCAAAAACAAAAGTAGTTTACAGTTCAATAATTTACTGATGTTATAGAGACATAAGTATCCCCCCCCCAAGCAGAGCAACGCCTTCGCCGGCAATCGAACCGCTGACCTCTCGAATACGCTCCCAGCGTGCAGACCACCACACCACGAACACACGCTAAGAAACCCGGACCTTATAATGTTATAAACATAACTTTAATTTGATGTTAAATATCTTCAACTATTGTTATTATACTTACATTTTAAATGCTTTAATAGATAAAGTTTTTAAACTTACATTTTAAATGCTTTATCTATTAAAGCATTTAAAATGTAAATATATAATGTATCATTATAAGAAAGAAGAAATAAAGGAAACTAATGATTAGAATTGATTATTGTTTATAGTATTTTATTAGAAGAAGAGATTCTGACTAGACCAGGCGTTTCCAGCGTTTTTTGCCCCACGCAGCGCTCTCACTATTGCTAGAGATCGTTCACCCGTACCTTTTCAAAACTCGAAAAATACATATACATTTATTTAAGTTTATGTTTTTTAAGGGGCTGATATTCTTCATAAATTAAACAAAAAAAGTCTATAAAATGCTGTTAAATACCAAAATTTGAATAAAAGAAATTTTCCATGATCATAAACTTATCATGTTCATAAACATGATGTTGTAAATCAAGAATGCATATAACAGACGAAATGTATTACACCGAGAACTAATTTAATGACAGCAATTCGTGAAAATACTACTCTCACAGTGTTTCTTACTTTAGCACGCTCTAAAAAACTCTTTCGTATGAATTACAGGGGAATTTCATTTACCTTCATTTGCCATTTATCTGCCTAAATGTATTCTAACAGCAAATATACTCGATACAAAATTTCCCAAAACATCATGGGTTAAGTAAGACAACAAGAAACAATAGATCATAATTCTGCTGGGATAACCTTCGGTGTTAAAGGCAATACATAAAAAAATGTGAATTTGCTCGTTAAAATTGAAGGATGTAAATAGAAATAAACGTTAACTAATACTTATTGATAAAAGATTAAGAACAATTTATTCGAAAGTATTATTTAACATAAAATTACCATATCTGCTAATAGATTAATCTCAAAACATTGAATCTAAAGTCAAATGGAAAGGAAACATAGATTATTTTATAGAAAAACGACGTAGCTATGGAAATCTAAATTTTTATTTTTTGATGCAACAGTTCTTTCATAACCAATAGCATAACAACAAACCACTGTTATTTTAATTTAAAAAGTATCACCGCCGCCCATAACATCTCGTTGGGGATGAAGCAGTAAGGAAATAGATAAAGGCCAATAATTTAAAGGGAGTGCGAGGGTGAAAACTGATTCGTTTTCGGCACATTTGGAGTACGATATCAATTTTATCTATTCTTAATTCCATGGGCCAACAACCTCCTAAACTAGAAAACCCTCCTAAAACCTTATATGGGACTCCAAGCTGTCGTCCTCCTATCAACACAAAACGCCGTCAAATAAATGCGACGCGGTATGACCATTTTTGATGCCTATCATTTAAAAATCATGAAAACGCTTCAGTGGAAGTAAGGGTTTTTATGAAGGCAGAAACGCAAGTTCTGTGTTCCTGGTTACTTTCAGATTAATTAAAGCATATCTAGAACTCGCCAATAAGTGTTATGATTCCTCATTTCTCTTGGCTCCTTTAGGGTCATATTAGATTAAATAAGTCTTTTTGGTAGATACAATTAGTGAAACATAAGTTAGTGACGTTTTCACATAAGTTCCCAGCTCGTGAACCTTTGAACGGCTGATTCGAGTTCTTGTAGCATCCTGAAAGCCTGAAAATAACTCTCTCGTAACCGCTTTACTGTTTCTTCGAGGTAATAATGACAGAAAATATCTTTGACGCAGTTTCTGCTCTTGTGTATTCATGATCTGGCGATCTACTA